GAACCGGAACCACTTCGTTTTCCACCTGAGGCGTTGGTTGTATCATTGCAACCTCCCTACCATCTGTCAGTGCTTGTACCATTTGTTGTCGATCTTCACCCCCATGACCACGATTTCCTTCGGCTTCATTGGCCGTTGGCGACAGTCCAGGCTCAGAACGACGCCGCATCATGTCCATGGCGTTAAACAAACGAAAAATCTTTACCAATTCCGCAGGAAGCCTAATTTGGGCTCATAACCTACGGGGGGCAACCGAAGGAGGACAGGGAACAAAACAGTCAGCCCCAACAGAAGCCCTTGATTCCCCTGGAACAACCGAAGACAAAACCCAAAGCACAACCAAACACACCTTTTCCGTAGGGTGCATTGCCCACGTTTCTTGAGCCAAAAATATCCGGGTTCATTGACCCCTTCAACTCCCATCACCAACTCTTTTCTACAATACCAGTTGCAGCTCCGCATAGGGTTTAGGGTTTAGGGTTTAGGGTTTAGGGTGTACGGCTTGGGTGTACTGGGTAGGCCCTTGGAGTATTGAGAATTTGTCTCCTTCTTCGGTTGAGGAGGATCCTAGCGGGGGATGTTTTTTCTCGGAGGCTTTAAAGGGCTCTTGTAGGGTTGTCTCGGACCCAGAGTAGGCCCTTATCCCCTTTTTAGGGTTTAGGTTGCCTCACAAACCATTATAAACCCCTTTAGGGCACTCTTTTTTCCTAGGTTAATTTACTCTTGGGCTCGTTAAGGTGTTAGATGAGGACCAGAGTCAAAAAGGGCCTAGGGTTTCGCGCTTCGGGTGGTTGAGGGTTTAGGGTGAAAGGTTTAGGGTTTAGGCTAGAGAGTTTACGGATGTTGGGACTTTTGGCAGGGCTCATGAGGGTTAGAGTTAGAGGTCTGTGGCTCTACATGTGTGCCATGGGGGTTGGGTCGACCACACATATAAGAGGTGGGGTTACATAACTTCAACTTTTTGTGCGGTGAATGTATATGTGGGCCTGGCAAAGATTGGTGAGAGTATATCAGTATTTCTGATATATGGCCGGGGAGACTGGTACTCGAGACTCACATCAGACACCACTAACACCGGCCCTGGGTGCACAGCTCCATAAACGAAGGCTTCCACTGTCCAGTACTTTTAAGGATGTCTTTGTGGCAAAACCCACGGCCCCTCGATGCTCGATATGAGGTTTCTAGGGTGTTCGGCTTTGTCTGGAGTTCCGGGTGGTTCAGACAACCCCCAATGCAGCATGAGTGCTGGTTGTAGAAGATACGGGGTGACAAGTGCTGATGAAGCCTACAAACCAAAAAGCCTTGCAATGTGGATAGTGTTGAGCTCGTTGAAGCAAAAGAAATCTTCCAGGTCTCTAACAACACAACTCTAGTATGTTCAGTTTGGGGCGGGTGTATGATACCATCTGGTCAGTTTACAAAATGATGGTCCTTGTGCTAGCCGTTTAAATGCGGTCCCCTCAAAGCAGGGGGACCCCCCCCCCCCAAAAAAAAAAAAAAAACACACACAAGGAACATAATTGAGAGAACTGACCATCTGTTCGGTATGGGACCTCAAAAGAGAACACGAACCCAGAGAGCCCAGTACCCCTCCCCCCCCCCATTTGAGGAATACCTTCATTCTTGTAGGGGTTTTTGAGATGACTTAAGGCATACGCGTTGGTTCTCAAGGACTATACACCTTAATTCATGTAGGGATCCTGAAGATCATTCTCAAGTGTCTTTTCCTTACAGTTCATCTTCTTTTGGGCTGTTTGGGGGAACTCAGGCTCGGGACCTTTGGAACTACTACAGGAGCTACGTCGTTGTGGCCTACAAAACCTGAAGCACCTCGTAAGAATTTTCTTTGGGGTTGATTCGGAAATGATCCGCTTTTTTCAATCGGAACTGGCCCCCCCTAAACCTGGTACAAAGCCTAGGGGTACCCCTTCTAGACCCCGAGTAGAATAGAATCCCCTTAAAGGGACCCCCCCTGGTTTTGGAAACCCCCTTATCGTCCCTACATAACCTAAGCCCTAAACCGTACCCATCATCGAAGACTGACTTTTAGGGGGAAATGGCCAAGTTCATAGATCGTAGTACTTCCCACAGTAGGGAGCCCACCCCCCCTAGTTTCGTAGAACCCTCAGTTAAGCTACAACCCCAAAAAGGGGCAAACCCTAGATTCGGAAGCATCGCTTTTGGGGGGCTTTGGAGAGCCCTAACGCAGTGGCCTTGCTTGAAGTAAAATGGGTATGTAGCATTTCGGGTGGTGTCTATTTGGGGTATGGAAAGTTAGGGGGATTAAGCGCGCCAGCCTAGGGAAAGCGGAACAACACTGCAGCGCCTGGTCAAAACCGGACAAGATGGACAAATCGGGAGATGCCCGAAGGGCTGATACACCTTAATTACGTACTTTGGGCGGCAGCTTGCATGGCTTGCAGTTTGCTTGCTGATCAGGGCTGAGCTTGGGCGCGGCGCGCGATGCATAAGGTGAATGCTTCAACAGCATGAGCCCCCCTAAGCCCACGCGAACCGCCCCTCCCCCTTGAATCAAGTCCGCTGCAGCAGCAGCAGCAGCAGCCGCCGCTTCCCTACAACCCTGGCGCGCAAGGTTGCCTGGGCTGAGGGCTGACTGCTTCTAAAAGAGATTGGTCTGTAGAGTCGCGATAGGAAGACGAAGTCGAACCCCAATCCGGGTGCGGCAGGCGATGCTTTGGGCGTTGCCCTTCCAGCTCCTAGCGGGGATGGCCGTTTCCGAGGCTTGCGTCCCACTCGAGACCCTACTTGGAGGGTCATGGTACTTTCAACCCCAACAATAACTGTACTCATCACCCAGTTATAGCCATGTTGGGGCACTTAAGGCGCTTACAAGTGAGTTATGTAGGTACAGTTATCATTGGTGAACAAGTACCATCTTGGTCGTCAAGGAACCCTAAACCTTTTTGTTACAGTGGGGGTAACGTTTTGCATGTTTAAGGGTACTTAACCTTAGTAAGGAATAGAATTTTAGGACTCTAAAACTATCCCAACCATGAACCCGAAACCATGAACCCACGAAAGCCTTGTTGGAAAGTTTCCGAAAATAGGGGGTACCATTTTTTGAGGTTCCTATGCAAAAGGATTAGAGCATGAAGAACCTTATAGGGCCCCTGAACCCTAAACCCTAAACCCTAAACCCTAAACCCTAAGCTCAAAAAAACCCTGGAAACCGCATGGGCCAGAAGCACGTCTTTGCGGGGTTACGATAGTAAGGTTTCTTGCATTTGGGGGCCTTTTCGGGGGTTCCCGGTTTTGGGAAACAATAATATCTTCCCACCGCAGGTGCGGGCCAACCACATCGCCTACCACGCCGGCATTGGCAGCTGCGAGAGCCATGCTCCGGATTTCATCTCGTGGAAACGATTTGGGGTGTAGCCTTTGGGCCCCTAAACCCTAAACGCTAAACCCCAAACCCCAAACCCCAAACCCCAAACCCCAAACCCCAAACCCCAAACCCTAAACCCTAAACCCTCAACCCTCAACCCTAAACCCTAAACCCTAAACCCTAAACCCAAGATAAGGCCTGCTGTGCACATGTTCCGGGGATGGGGGGGGGGCAAAGTGGGGGGGAAGGGGCGAGGGGGATGGGGTCGGGGGGGGGAGGGGGGGGTGGGGGCGGCGGGTAGGCTTCAGCAATCCCAGGTTGGGGGCCAAAAATGGGTTTAGGGTTTAGGGTTTAGGGTCTAGGGTCTAGGGTTTAGGGTTTAGGGTTTAGGTTTTAGGGTCTAGGGTTTAGGTTGAAGCTGCGAAAAGAATTTCCTACTTGCTGTCAGTACCTGTACACGTGCCTATGAGGGTATTTTTCCGTTGTTTTTTTTTGGGGGGGGGGGAGACATGCCGAGGTTTCTGGGGCTTAGGGTTTAAATTTAGGATTTAGGGTTTAGGGTCTTGGGTTTGGGAATTACGAGGCTGCTCTGGAGTTCAGGAACAACGCGCGCCATGCAAGCGATTGAGACTCCACGTATTCGTGCACTCGCTGAAGGTAGAGCTGGCTTTTTAGGCCAGGAGGTGCGTTGTAGAAGTGGTCTCGTGTGGAATCTGGGTTTAGGGTTTAGCTTACATCATTCATTATTGTATGGGATTGTTCTACGTGTTTTTTCATAAACCCTAAACCCTAAACCCTAAACCCTAAACCCATTGGCATTTTCTTTTGCCGAAAGGAAAGCCGGCCGGTGGGCAGAGGTGCTGCAGCTGGAGGCGCATGCGGGGGCTTGGCGAAGAGGGCAAGGCGGTTTAGGGTTTAGGGTTTAGGGTTTAGGGTCTTGAGTGTTGGGTTTTGGGGGGCTTGTAGGATCAAGGGGGTTTAGGGCAAAGGTTTCACGGGAGGCTTCAGCGCATCTTCCTTGAGTCGTAGGAATCAGGAGTCGAAAAGATCATGTCCTACCGAACCCTAAACCCTAAACCCTAGACCCTAGACCCTAGACCCTGAACCCTAAACCCTAAACCCTAAACCCTACACCCTGGTTTTGGGCCAGTTGTGGGAATGTCCGGGTCCGGACTCGGGCAGCCCTTGCAAGGCCTGAAGCCTTTCCAGTCAGTGCCCTCAGCTAGGCAGGTCCTAAACCCTAAACTCTAAACCCTAAGCCCTAAACCCTAAACCCTGAACCCTAAACCCTAAACACTAAACCCTGAACCCTAAACCCAACCTGCTTCATTGTGAGAGGCGAACCCCAACCCGATCTGTCCCACCCGGCTCCCTGCAAGGCTCAAAGAGATCATCGGACATGGGGGGTTGATAGACCCAAACAAAGGGTTCAGGGTTTAGGGTTTAGGGTTTAGGGTTTAGGGTAGCTAAAGGCTCCTATGTAGTGCCTTTTTGGTGTGGAACAACTGGAATCCCCTACAGCTAGGCCTCAAAAGGGACTACATTGCAGCCTTCCGGCATTGGACTGTGAAGGTTTCGGGTTTCGGGTCACAGGGTTGTTAGGAGCGCTTCGATTGGTACAGCCTTGTGATTAGAACAAGGCCGGCACGCCATCATGGGCGACGCCTTTGGGCAGCAGTGCCTCCTGCTAGCCTGGGCTCACATCGAAGCGGCTGCGTGCGAAGAGGGCGCTGCTGGCAACCTCTGCTGGGAGCGGAATGAGATCACCCATGCCATGGAAAAGGCTGGCTTCTCCTTCGAGCAGTTCTCCAGGAAGCCTGACCATTTTCCTTGCTTCTGCCAGGAGTGCTTGGGATTGATTTGGAATGAGATGAGCCCGCACCCCTCCAACAAAATAGAAACCCACTGGCTTTTCTATTCTTACGGTTTAAATTCTTATTCTTATGATTATGATTATGATCATTACTATCTTTCTTCTTACTCTGATGATCATGATCATGATATTGACTATTATTGTTATGGTTGATATTTTTTGTTTTTGAAATGGTTGCAAAAGGGCCTTCAAAATACTGTAAGCCCCAGGTACGCAGAACTGAGGAGCTCCAATCCTACAGCCATGGATGTCGACACAGCTGCCGGGCCTCATGCTTGGGAACTTAACTTGGGGGCTTCAAGACTGGGACAGAGTAGGCCCTTTAGGGTTTAGGGTTTAGGGTTTAGGGTTTAGGGTTTAGGGGTTGTTGCCGTATGAGCCCCTTCAAGCCAAAAAGGGCACCCTTGTTGTTGCTAGGTTACTCCTGGGTCTAGAAAAGCTATTCCTTGAATGATAGTCGGTTCCCTTACTGTGGCATTCGGTTCGGAGAAAAACTGAAGCGGGTTCCTTTTACAGAAAGGGCTTATTCCCCTGGCTCTTAGTAGGGAAGGGAAAGCGGGCCCATATATACCCTTTAAAGGGTGATGTCGGGCCGACTTCCTTCTGGCCCGACCTAGACTGGTGGCTCCTTGACTCTAAAATCCTTTTCCCCAATTCAGACCCAGCCAGCTATGCGGCGATCCGAAGCCAAAGGTGGATGCTTTGACGTTTGTTCGCCTTCTGGCGCTCCTGCGGGAGAAGTTCTACGAGTCCGGGTTCCCCAGTCCTTGTTTCAGCTCTCCGATGTCCCAACAATAATTACATATAATTACCTTGGGATGTTCCCCCTTATACTAGCAGCTTCTTAAAAGGGATTATAACAGGGAGGGTACAGTCCCTATGAAGGACTGTGAGTATCAGGTTGAACATCCCAACCAAAAAGCCCGAACGAAATCCCCAAACGAAGCCGTTTCCTCCTAGGCCACAGTCAGTAGCCGGAAAGTTCCAAATCTTGCCCTAAACCCTAGAAGCTAAACCCTAAGCAAAGGACATAGGAGAGCTACAGGAGCTATTCTTCTATATTCTTGGATTGGCTGTTCCCTAAACCCTAAACCCTAAACCCTAAACCCTAAACCCTAAACCTTAAAAAAATCAACAGACTTACTCCCTTCAAGGACGGGAGCAGGCGCAGACGCTCTGGAAGCCATGGGATTGAACATCCGTGAAGCCGTTCGCTGCGTTGAGGTGGAGACGGGCATCCACTTGGGACGGGCGAAGAGCGTCAACCGCTTGAGGAGCCTGGCAATGAAAGTCCATCGCAAGCCTAGAGTTGATTGGGGTTTGGGGTTTGGGGTTTAGGGTATAGGGTTTAATGTTGCACCCTGTTTAGTGTGGGGGCCCCCCCCCCCCCCCCCGAACAGTCGAGGCGTGGATGGGAGCCTGATTACACGACCCCCGGGGCTCATATGATTTTAATAGGGAGGAGTTTAGATAGGTTCAAAAGGGGCAGCGATGCCCGGTTATCTTTTTTAAAGGCGCGCCACGTGGAATTTTCTTACGGCGCCCGGACGATTTGTCTTTAAAGAGGGACTCCCAAACAGTCAGCATGTCCTGAATAATTCGGCCAGTTTGTCTTTAAAGAGGGGGCCAATACTAAACCGGGTGCAACATTAGGGTTTAGGGTTTAGGGTTTAGGGGTAAGCCCTTCCCGTGCCCAAAATATGACCATTGACGGTCCTTGTTTGCGGGTTTGCACTCCGAAGCGGTTGCAACCGTTTGTCCCACACGGCGCCTTCATGATTGGGGGATCTTGGGAGGTCGCGGCGGTTCAGAGTTTCGGGTTTAGGATGTTGTGCTTACTACTAATTGCTTAAGAACCATCGAAAAAACATATTCCTCCTTGTTAAGGGCAATCTAAGGGATTGTTTTCTTGATTCTTTTGGGGCTCTTAAGCAAATAGTAGTTTTTAAGACATCCTCAGGAGGGTATGGGGGCTTTTTGAGTGGGTTCAGGCCATATCTACAGAGCCTGAGTTCAACAACCAAGGCTTCCATAGGGTTTAGGGTTTAGGGTTTAGGGTTTAGGGTTTAGGGTTGGGTTGATTGCAGCTGGGGCTCTCCTCCTTTGGCTTAGGGTTGCTGTTGGGATCTTCCCCCTTAGACTAACAATTCTGAATAGGGAGTTCTAGTATATGATCGTACCCCCTATTGAAATCCATATTGAGGGACTGTTAGTATAAGGGGGAAAAGGTTGCTGTGATATGGCGCAGAAGCTGTGAAGGCTGGGAGGCGGAGTAGCCTCAAAAAGTCTTTTCAAAGTGCGGAGGGCAGCTATGGTTGGTGGCTCGATTGTGGAGGACCATCCACTAAACCCAAAACCCCAAAACCCTAAAAAAACTCTTGAGTTACCAGAGGGTTTTTGGGGCCCAGCGTGTGTTGCTGAGGAACGCCTTCCGACACCAAACTGCCAGAAGGCATGCTTTGGCGCCCAAGCGGGCCAACCAGTCTCCCGGCAGCTACCCTAAACCCTAAACCCTAAACCCTAAACCCTAAACCCTAAACCCTAAACTCTCACAACCTTGAATGTTGACCTTAAGCATCTTGGATCCTTAGTTCCTAAGAGCCTTCCTAACGAAGGTGTTCTGGGTCGTTCAGCCGAGCTCCCGGGGGCTTGTGGCCGAGGGGGTGTCAGGGTGTTGTGGATGCGCATTTAAGTCCGCAGCGGTTTGGGTATAAATTGTTATGCCCCAACATGTTGTCATCCCTAGTAGCACTGCTGTGGCTACTGTGTTGTGTGTGTTATTGTTGCTGGTATCGTTATTGTTATGGTTATGGTTATTGATATGGTTATGGTTATTGTTATTGTTTATCGGTATTGTTTATTGTTTATTGTTTATTGTTATAGTTACGTTAGTTAAGGTTGTTGTTACTGCTATTGTTTTCTCAGTATGATCACTTGCAGAGCTTGACCGTGCCCGGGCATGTGCTTCAGGTGCTGCTGGATGTTAGCCCAGGGCAGGGGTTTACGTTGTGTTGTTTAGGGTTTAGGGTTTAGGGTTTAGGGTTTAGGGTTTAGGGTTTAGGGTTTAGGGTTTAGGATGTAGGGTTTCGGGTTTAGGGTTTAGGGTTTAGGAGGGTTTAGGGTTTGGGGGGCTCGGCAACTGTTGCCAACCAGGATCGCCAAGACCATCAACGACGCGTCGCCATGTACGGTGGAGGAGTTTCTGACGTTGGCCTCAGAGCTGTCAGGCAAGTCGAGTCCCAAACCCAAAACCCTAAACCCTAAACCCCAAACCCCAAACCCCAAACCCTAAACCCTAAACCCTAAACCCTAAACCCTAACCCTAAGCACCCCCAGCCCTAAACACCATAAGCCCTAAACACCTCTTTTTCAGAACCTGGGAGTCGCCAGGCGTATCCCTCACGCGCGAAGAGCTGCTTGAGGATTATGCGGTGGCTAGGACCGGGAGTAGGCCCTGATTTCCTTTTTTTCCGGGTTGGGGTTCCTTAATAATCCCCTTAAAACCAAAAAGGGCACCCTTTCAATTCCTAGGTTGCTCCCGGGTCTAGGTGGAGAGCGGGCATGCGTTCGACGTCAGCTCCGAACTAGCGCTCGACCTCGGGCAATTCCTCCACACCCTGCATGTCTGCCTCTTCAAGATGCTTGGTAGCCCAGTGGTACACTTTACCCTTTTTTTGGTTCCAGGTTCCCTCACAAAGTAGCCAAGCCAAAAAAGGGTTTAGGGTTTAGGGTTTAGGGTTTAGGGTTTAGGGTTAGGGTTTAGGGTTTAGGGCTACCAAGGATGCGAGGCCCCCCGCGCCCCCGGCCGCTTGAGGAGGTGCGAGGCAACGTGCTTCGCGTGGCCCCGCTGTGCGGCGGCGTGCTCCTGAGGCTACACGAGCTGCTTGACCAGCCCCTCTCAGATCTCCCCGACACTTGGCAGCCCAGCGGTACCCTTGAGCTACCCTCTTTATCTCTGGGCTCTCTTATAGCGGAACCCACCAGAATAAAGGGTACTCTTCTAATAAGAGTATGTTGGGATGTTCCCCCTCATACTACGCAACAGTTACTAGCAGTCCGTAATAGGGATTTTTAGCACCTCCTACGATAACCCTGCTAGTCTAAGGAGGAACATCCCAAAGAGTATGGTTACTGGGCTGCTAAGGACATCGGCGCGATTGCTGGCGACGCGTTGTGCCGCTTGCAGTCACAAGTGGAACCGGCGCCAGGGCGCGCAAAAAAAAGAAGCCTTTCCACGGAGTTTGGGGCTGAACATGAGGTCTTCCTGTGGCTCCCAAAGCCCTATAGACATTCGTCAGCTTAGAAGCCCCTTAAAGATCAAGTGCCTAAGCCCTACCCAAGAATAGTGGACACATCGAGCCCCAGGGTTGGGTGTCCCTGAAGCACACGAATCGCCAAACCCTATAAACCCCACAACCACGGTTTCACCGCGAAAGCGCGCACGAACATGTTCCGAATGCACTGCGCTGCAGCCCCAACAAAATTGACATGAGCATCCTGCAAGAACCCCACGTTTCGCAACAGCGCCCTCAACAATCGGCCTTGTATGTAAGCAGCCAAAACAAGCATTTCACCTAGGCGAAACGCTTACTTTGAACAAAAGTAGGGCACGGTTTCAACGGCGGCGGGACATTTAGGGAAGTGACCAAAGAATACTTAAACTCAACCTCACGACCCTCAAAACCTCTGTCGGGTGGGGCCCAGGGTGCTGAAGCACCTCATGCGCAAAGCCCCAAGGGTGTTGGGTTTGGGTTTAGGGTTTAGGGTGGAGGGTGGAGATGGGTGGAGGGTTGAGGGTTTAGGGTTTAGGGTTTAGTTTTTGCCGCACAAAAGGGATGTTTTCAAGCCCCCGATATGCGCGGCGTTGGGGGCTTCGGAAGGCACAGATGCTAAGGCAGCAGCCGCAAGGCGACAGCAGGCACAATGAGTATTCGGTGCAGGTGTAGCCAGAAAGAAGGGGAGAAGAATTCCGACAGCAGCAACAAGCCCAAGAAGACCCAGCTTTAATCAACCCTAAACCCTAAACCCTAAACCGTAAACCCTAAACCCTAAACCCTAAACCCTAATGATCGGAGAACGTGGGCAGGCGACGATGACGGCCGCCAGCCTACCGTTGAACAGGCATGTGGGTCAAGTTGGCACCTCTGTACATCTTCCCAGCGAACTCGGGCATCAGGGTGCCTTATTTCCCCCCCACAACCCCCCCCCCATACTTCGCTTTCGGGGACTGACTGTAGAGGAGCGAGGTGCCTTGAGCACCATCCTGACCACCCCGGCAACGGCTTGTAGAGGCACAATTCGACGCTTTCCGTACCCGGGTATTTCAAGCCAGTGCTTGCGCACGATACTTGGTTTTAGTCAAGTGGTTCAAGCAACTGAGGGTCTCTGATTGCGTGAGCTAAGCCCCCCCCTACAGCCGAAGCTAGCAAAACCCTAGAAGCAAGGATTCTGGTGTCACTAGCTAAGCGAATTCGGCCTCACTTAGACAAAAGACCCATGATAGGCTGGGCAGGTACTGCAAGCAAAAACGAATATACACACCATTTGTCCTCTCTGCGGTTGAGAGTTTAGGGTTTAGAGTTGAGGGATTCTTCAGTGGTGCCCTTCTTGCTGTTCTGGGTATAGCTTCGAAGGCAAAAGTCCTGATACTCAATCTTCTAGGACCCAATGTAGGCCCATATTCCCTTTTCTGAGGGTGTGGGTTCCCTTCTATAAGCCCCTTTAAACCCAAAAAGGGTGCCCTTTTTGTTCCTCGGTTACTCTTGGGTTTATTTTGTTGAGCAAGCCCGCCACTTCTTCCAACGCCAGGAAGGCATAAGAAGTCCCTGAGGCCTACCTACCCGCGACATTGCCCACCCTGGAACCCACAGCCTACTTTTTTCGGTGGCTTTATCTAAGAATCCTACAAGGGTTAATATAACAAGAGCCTTCAAAATAATAGGTTCTTAAGGTAAGCCCTAAGCCCCAAACACCCACCCCCCCTGAGCCCGCAAACCCCTGAGGGTCACCGCCAACGCCGTGGCAGCCGCGCGTGAAAAGGGTGGACTGCAGGGTCTATCTGCCAGGCACACTGGGTTTAGGGTTTAGGGAGGGTTTAGGGTTTAGGGTTTGGGGTGTCCTAGGCTCCATTCCTTGTGCAGGGTAGCTGACATTCCTTCAAAATCAGCCCTACGTAGTAGCCAAAGAGCTTTGCAGACCTCACCGTAAAACTGGCCGATGAGGACTTTCGAGCTCAGTTACCGTTTTGGGATGTATTGATACATATATATATATATATACATACATATACCAAGCGGTGCATTGCGGCATACTGCGGCCCCTTCGTGCTTCAGCTAGCCTATGCTAAGGGGCACAAACTGGTTACATAGCTGGGCCAAGTCGAGCAAGACAGGAACCCTCAGTTAAACCCTATAAACCCTGAACCCTGAACCCTGAACCCTAATCCCTAACCCCTAAACCCTACACCCTAAACCCTAAACCTACCAATGTGTGATTGTGGAGGCCACCACTGCCGCTTCGCTCGGCTGACGCCATGCGAAGAAAAATTCTGCTCGAGCTTCACATCTCAGGAGGGCTTCGCGTTTCTGGGGAGTGTATCAACTTTAGGCGCCACCGCCCCAGTGTCTAACACCCTAAATCTCAAACCTCCGTACTCGACTTTTGACGTTGGATGGCAAGTGCAGGCCCCAAAAGCTAGTAAGCGCAGTCCAGCAGCTGGCAGAACGCGCCGCTTCCAGCCAATCTACCGCAAAAACTAACCGTAGCACGCCGCAAGATCACCCATCCAGAGGACCCATCCAGAGGATCCCAGAGGACCCAACAAGAAGACACGAAACACGGGAAGCATCGTGAAGCCAAGCAAGCCACGCAGACACGCAGACCACGCGACGAACGTCTGCATGACGAGTGCACACTTGGTTGGGTACGTGTGCCATGACCACGAAGGGCTCCGTGTAGATGATTTGCATGAACGTCTGGTCGGCCTCAAGTCATGAAATGTCATGAGTACTTGTCCGTGGCTACGGTGACGGTATTCCTGGCACTCTACAGCCATGCATAATGTATGCCATGAAAGAAAAACAAGGAAGAGAGAGAGAGAGAGAGAGATAGCGACTGGAAGGAAGGAAGGAAGGAAGGGGAAGGGAAGGGGAAGGAAGGAAGGGGAAGGAAGGAAGGGGCAGGAAGGAAGGGGAAGGAAGGGGGGAAGGAAGGAAGGGGAAGGAAGGCACAGGGGGGAAGGGAAGGGGAAGAAGGGGAAGGAAGGAAGGGGAAGGAAGGGGAAGGAAGGGGAGGAAGGGGAAGGAAGGGGAAGGAAGGGGAAGGAAGGGGAGGAAGGGGACGGAAGGGAAGGAAGGAAGGGGAAGGAAGGGGAAGGAAGGGGAACGGAAGGGGAGGAAGGGGAAGGAAGGGGGGAAGGGAAGGAGGGAAGGAAGGGGAAGGAAGGGGAAGGAAGGGGAAGGAAGGGGAAGGAAGGGGAAGGAAGGGGAAGGAAGGGGAAGGAAGGGGAAGGAAGGGGAAGGAAGGGGAAGGAAGGGGAAGGAAGGGGAAGGAAGGGGAAGGAAGGGGAAGGAAGGGGAAGGAAGGGGAAGGAAGGGGAAGGAAGGGGAAGGAAGGGGAAGGAAGAGGAAGGAAGAGGAAGGAAGGAAGGAAGGAAGGAAGGAAGGAAGGAAGGAAGGAAGGAAGGAAGGAAGGAAGGAAGGAAGGACACAGAGAGAGAGAGAGAGAGACAGAGAGAGCGGCCGTCGCGGCCGGGCATCCTCGGGGGCCCTCAGGCAGGCAGAAGAAGAACAAGAAAGACTGGTGAGGTCGGCCCCACATGACAGCTTGCGCAAAGCTGGAGGCTGGTCAGCCCTTTTCCACCAGCCTCACGCTGACTACTTGGAGCTTCATAGTACTTATTAACCCAATGAATACTGTACTTATACCCCAATTATAACCATACGGGGGCACTTAAGGGGCTTGTAAGTGGGTTGTCAGTACAGTCATACTTGGTTATTAAGTGCCATGAATATCCAAGTAGGGCCGGGGGGGGGGGCACCTGGCCCGGAACGGGTGGGGTTGGTACAGGAGCTGACGCACGCCCACATAATCCCGACTTGCCGGATAAGAATGGGAAGGGCTGTCCAACCTTCTAAGACCGCCGGCGCGGACACTTTTCAGCAATAGACTGCAACAGGCCTCAGAAGCATGAGGCGAAGCAGCAGGTCCCTTTTTTACCCTCGGCCCCCGTTTTCACCGGAGAGAGAGAGAGAGAGAGAGATTGATTGAGTAGGAGAAGATACCGTCTTGTCTCGATGAGCATTTGGTCCAAGCAAGGGTCGCGCACCGACGCAGCACGGCGACCTGGCTTTGTAATTCTGACTCAACAGATTTAAGCACCAGCCCGCCTGCCCAACACGCCCTGAGCCCTAAACCTGTATTTCCGCTACCCGACAGGACACTGCACCCTCTAGCTTTG